CAACACTATAGCCGCCACTTGAAAGATATAGAAAGGGCTCAACACTTCTTGGAATAATATCTGCAACAAAGACTGCACTTTGATTTCAATCTGATTCTCGCCGTATAACACAGTTCTGGTCATAAATGAACAATTCTTCAAACATTTTTAAAATCTATCATTTGATGAATACCTTTGAAATTGTTGTTCATCATTGAGTCCGTTATGCTGTGAAAAAGTTGAACAAATGATATCTCGATCCAAACCATAAAGTTTTTCAAACTTAAGGTTTTGTTGTTTCCAGAGGTAACGGATCTTCTTGTTCTCGAAGTATCGAAGAAAGTCTGTGCTGTCGAAAGTGCCGTTGCCTTTGGGCACAACATAGCGCTGTTGGCTCTTCCCGGACAGTGATATGACTTTCTCGACAAATATCTGGTCGTATTTGTCCTGAAATGTCACAGAAATATATTCAAACATACATTTCTTTGATAAGAAACTGAATTAATTGCTTACAACTAACAGCACATATTCGGCATCAATAGCATCGCACCGGCTATGAGTGCAATACAACCAATAGACAGGTTTCCAATAAAATATCAATTTTAATATTAGAGCCGTTAATACTATTGATATGTAAGTGATAATCGTTTTAAGCCATGTCTTCTTATAATAGAAGATCTCCTATTAAAACATTATTTATAACATTTAAATTGAAATCTCGTTAAACATTAATATATTGAGAATTTATTCAAACCATGCGTTCGTCTTCATCGCCGACGTAATCATCAGACGATTTATTACTTGAGTTTTTGTCAGAAAATTTTGATTCCCATTCTTTCATTCCTAACAGATTTGCCGGAGATTTGGTTTTGCATAAAATGAATGCTTGAATATTATTCAAATGAATGAATGAATAAATGGGAAACTGTTGGCAGAGTTTTAAAAGAAATGGTTATGACTTTGAAGTTTCAAATCTCGATTCCGTTTGACGTTATTTCACAAAATAATTCAATAAAATATTACAACATTTAATTGTTTATTACAGACATATGATAAGGAATCAAATTGTTATACAAGTTTATGATCTAGAACATATTAAATTAGAACATATTAATAGTTTGCAAGTTCTTCTAAAAAATAACACTTTAACAACATTTTATGAGTAATAATTTTCTTTGCAATTATTGTGTAATTAAAAACTTTATGATTTAAAATGAAGTGATATTAACTAAACAAACAATATTTTAAGTTTATGTGACCTTGCATAAATTGCACTCAAATATATCGCCAATTAAATACATCTTTCTTGTTTAATTAATAATTTTATTTTAAATTATTTCATTAGAATAAAAAAGTGTAATGTTTTTTACAAGCATTTCATAACAGAACGGATTAGTTAGTTATAAATTAAATAAGTATAATAAAAGGATTTTATATATTATTAAAAGTGTATATTGACGTAATATTAAAACTATAAAAAAAACTCATAATATTATAAAATATGTCGACAACAATCTTATTAAAAAACACAATCAAATGCTTTTACAAAAAGTTTCAAATTTATGTCTCAATAGTTACGACGAGAGAAGACTCGACAAGAAATGTCATAAAATATATTATAAATTAATAAAACAAATAGGATTTTATTTAAACGATATGTGAATACTTTACTCAAATCACGTATGAATTCTCAATCTTTAAATATTTGTACGAATGTATGTCCAGTGAAGCGCTTTTTTATTGCAATTTTAATTATCAACACAAAATATTTATTGCAATTATTAAACAAGATGATTTGTTTAAATTTTTAGAATATTTTTGAAATTGTATAAAAATAATACTTTTAAATATGAATACTATATACTTTTTAGTGATTTAGTTTAGTATTAATAATTACTTTTCCATTGTTAAAATATTAGAATAAATAAATTGAATATTGAATAAAAAATTGAATTTATAGTAGAATCTAAGAATCAAATTATAAATCTATGTACAATTAAAGCATTTTCTTAGAGAAATTTAAATATTTAATAACACACGCCATAAATGAGCACGGTGATTTGTCTAACCATTTCTATTTGATTTAAATGAGTGTTTTGCACTAATAATGTCTTATGACTTTTGGTATATCTAATAATTAAAATTTTTTACCTTTTAGATGATTTATAACTGTGGAAAATGTTTATACATTACCTGATAATGAATTTGAGTGATGCTATGTCTCATGTAAGCAATAATTATTGAAACAATTCTCTTATATTCTAATATAATATATTTATTTTTGACTCATTATTATTAGTTTTACAAGTTTTCAATTGATTTATTATTTATATAATAGTAATAATAATAATAATAAGTTATAATAATTATTAATAAAACAA